TTTATTGTTCGCTTCCTCAACTAGTCAGTGGCATGCCACCAAGGGGCCTTATTTGCGGTTTGCCCTAAAACGTAAACTGCACAAAAAGTGTTAACCATAGTAAAGGTGCCATAGAGAAAGCTGTATTAAATATTCAGCATTTAAGGCCCGGCAAATTATTTCATTGAGGGCAAAACCTTAATGATATTTAATGCTTTTCTTATTTTAAATCGATTCGAGAATGAGTTGAGTCAAAATAATAAAGCCCCCTCCCCAAAAACGCTAAAATATAACCATGTTTTGTATAAAAAAATATTAAAAACTCTCTTATCTCTTAAAGTATTATTGTTCGTGTAATTACATTTAATATTTTACATTCACTTTTAAACACCATTTCATATAAGTAGTTCTTTTCTTTCTTTCTTTTTTTAAAATTAATTATCGTTATATATATGAAAAAAAAAAGGTTTCGGGTTGAAGCTTCCCTCTCCAAAATTAAATCCTGGATCCGCTAGTGGTCAAAATCGTTACAGTCTTATTCGAGGAAACTGTATAAAATCGATTATATAAAGTGGCACCTCTGTTCAAGTCTATTTTAGAGAAAAAGTTGCTGTAACATCACAATTGATAAAGGCAATTTCAGCTCCAACCTCGAAGATTTGTTTTGTTTTGAGTTTCGCTGTTCACGTACACGCACACAGACCTTTTTGCGGTACTTATCTTATTTGGACTCAGAAGCCCTTGAAATGTGTATATTCGTTGAAAACTCTAATTCGAAATTTTTCACGATCTTAATACATTTCCTTACTGTATACTTTAGGTAGGGGAAACTGGAAGTGAGAAAAATTATAAAATATCAAACTCCAGGGCAAGCTAATTTTAGGAGAAAATCAGCATAAAAGAGATCGGTTACTTCTTGGATAACTCATCCAGTTTACCCTACCACTACGCTAAGTACATGTAATGTGAAGGACGTTAAACTCAATAAAATATAGAGGAGATGGTCCATGACTGAGACGCTCTCATAGGAACGTAGAATACTACAACTTCCACCATTTTCAAAAATATTTATTCTGTTTTGTGAATATCTAGTAATGTATGAAAAATATTTTTTGATTTCCAAAATTAAATATTAGTTTGATTTTATTAATTATTCATATTGAAATTTCATAAAGTTTCCTTATGGAACATTTATTAGTCTCATCAGTTTCAAAAGTATTTCTGACTATTAAATTTATGTGAATGTAGTTTTTTTTTAAGAATCGTCTGAAATGGAAACAAAATTGGGTGGGGTTCGGATTCTCGTAAATAGATAATATATCACTCTTCTTCGCCCCTGTCAAAATTTTCAATTTATGATATATCTATCTCAATTTGTAGATTTATTGGTTCTTGTTTGTATTGATTTTATCATATCGATTAGATGTCCATATAACAGCCGGATTAGAAGAAAAATCAATGATGATAAGCAATCATGCCAAATACGACACAAATACAAGAGTTTTCGAGTAATAATACTTCAGCGTTTGCAGATGAGGATTAAAATGACATTTTAATCGTCAAAAAAAAGTAGAGAGTGTTTACTTTTGTCTCTCGAAAAATTGTATTATTTTTAAATTTGGCTTTTTATCACAGGATGTATTTTGTCAAAAGTCATAGCCGTGAAACAATGAGATCATAAAATTGACTTCTCGTTTCGTATTTCTATTCTTTTTTTTTAATGGCATTAAGATTTTATGCAAACTCCTATCTTGCCAATATCTATTATCATTTGTTTTTTTGTTTTTTATTTATATGATATTTACAACTGAATAAAAAAAAAAAACTACATCTAGTAAATTCGCACATGGATATAATGACATGAAACACATGTTGAGAAACTACCCATTGATAGTATTCTAATAATATGTCTATATTAGGAGATCACGTGGCCATCTTCTTTTCAGACGACTCGGAGGGTTATCAGGAATTGAATAGGATGCAAGGTTAGAAACAAGAGAGTTGGGATGGTTATGAAGTTTATTATGGAAGGATAGATATCTGGATTGGACCAAATCTGATGCATAAGGAACATTAAGGTCATTGTGGATGATTTTATTTGTAACAAAGTAAGGAGCATTGAGGATTTTACGAAGGATTTTCGATTCTAAGGATTGGATACGAGAGGAATTTGTAGGATTATCAATTATTAAAGCTGTAATTTAGTTTTTCTCGTGATTTTTTTAAGTTTATTGCAGGGTCCCCAAGGCCGATGGCGCATAAACCTTCTTCCACGTCTCTCAATATGTTTTATTTCTCTCTTCTTCTCAAAAACAGTGCAAACGAAAGTAGAATTGGAATATTCGTAGATTATATACCATTACATATCCCGTGGTATATTTCATACCACACCGACTTCTATTGGATACAGGATAAGTTCCTTATTCACTACAGCTATCTGTTCACCTCAGATTTTCTTTCGAGTGAAACATCAGCAGTGATCCGACCAACGATATCTCTCGATGATCAGCTTCTCCGACACCTATCCAGAGAACAGTTCAGGTATTACCGAATTACTAATAATCTCTAAACTCGTGCGGATCGTCCAAGGAACTTAACTCCAATGTACTCGTTATAGAGTTAACTGACGATACTTGTGTGTTTATCTGCACGCCGACACATCAAGTTCTTCAACAAGAACAGCTCAAAATCCTCCCGTTTCAAGTTATCGCACATTCTTCCTGATCAAGATGGTAGAAAAGCTTCATCATCTTAACAGAGATCCTCGCCGAGGGAAGGAATTCTGACATCAGCACACGCTGAGTGCTGCCTGCTCTTTCATCCTATAGTAGACTCTGCCAAATCACAAAGTCGCCAGCTTTAGAATGGAGGTTTCCGATCCAATCCTTTCCATATAAGGAGGATAAATAAATAAAATACGAATGTTGGTGATTTTCAAACTTCGATTTTGCTAAAAGTAAAAATGAAAACTGAAAAATTCGAGGTAAACTAATTTGCAGGAGCTTCTTAATAACCGATAAAAATCATTCTGAAATTATACTTTTTTTCCAACCTGATTTAATTTTCAAACAGTTCTAGCGTAACTATCAATGAGTTCTACTAAAAATATTATATAAGATCATTCTTAACGTTTTATTCGTTTATTTGATAATCGACTTTTCTAAAAGATTGGGTTCATACAATTATATTCAATGGTTTACAGAAAGGAGTGGTAGGTACTTAAAATTAAAAATGAAGATCAACTACGCTAGAAATACATTTAAAAAGACTTAAAGGATCCTTAAACTGTACCAAAAGTAAAATAAAATAATCTGACTATTATATAATTTTTATAATTGTGTGATGATGGTTGACTGCAGTGAATAATGAAGAGAAAGATAGTTGGGATGATCAGTCAAAAATAAAAATGGCAAAAATAAATAATAATATTTATTTTAACATTTGCCGACGTTTCGACCCGAAGTTCAGGCCTTCATCAGGGCTGATCGCTATTGATCGAAGAGATCGCTATTGATAGAATGAATAGCGTATTCTCAGTATTCTATCAATAGTGATCTCTTCGATCAATAGCCATCAGCCCTGATGAAGGCCTAAACTTCAGGTCGAAACGTCGGCAAATGTTAAAATACATATTATTATTTACTTTTGCCATTTTTATGTATAATATCACCCCAACTATCCTTCTTTTCATTATATATTTTTTATATTTAGTAAGAAAATCTGTAATATGATTTATATTACAAACTTTAGGTGCTTTAAAAGTATTTCAAACCTGTAGAAGATGGAATGCAAAATAAAAATATATATCGATTTTACGTAGGATACCTACTTTGCCTTGAGACCTATTAATAAATATAAGGAATATCCTTTTATCTAAACCAAAGATTGATTCTGGTATGTAGATTTTTTATGAAGTGGCTCTCCATTGGGTTTAGTGAAAAACATGAAGGTTGAACCTGTGAGTTTTGCGCATTAACTTTTTGTACAACAGTATTTTAAGAGCCTTCACGTAGTATATTGGTACATTTTTTTTTAAATTTAAATTCTTCTATGACAGAATTCATTATAAAATTCCATTTCGATTCTATTCCATTTTATTTAATGGTAAAAGGTTACTTTAATGCAACATTTCATTGGTCATTAACACCATTTATTTATTTTGTTATTCCCAATTATTTTTTATTATATATTTTATAATACTACTCATTGTTTTTTATATTTTCTTGACCACTCCTGGTGAAAGGAATATCAACACTCTGGCATCCTTGGTCATTCTCTCTAGATCGATGGAGCATGAATCCCTTAAAAAAAAAAAAATATTGCTCTTCTCTTTTTGAAAATGGTGCAAATGTAAGAAAATTTGAAAAAAAAATACTTTAGTTTTTTCCTCTGTACCTTAAAAATAAAGTTCTCTTCAATTGAAACCTCAGAAAAATGTTTAGTTTTCTCCAAGTATGTACTAACTCCAAAATTTATAACCCCATAAAAATCTATCTCATCAATATTTTGATGAATCTATCTCAACAATTTAATCTCGCCTTTTTTCATGCAATCTCCTTCTGGATTCCTCTAAATGACTAAAAAGAAAGATACTTATTTGCGCCAATAATTAATGTAAATAAATGTCGACATAGAATCTCAATTTCTTGGAAGAAAAATGAACAATCCTGGAAAATATAGCTTTTAAAATTTGGAATGTTAATCAATTAATGCAATGTTTCTAAGAAAAGTGTAAGATTCGAATACATGTCTCCATTGAAATAAAAAATAAATAAAAAAATGTATAAGAGAAAGACAAAAAAGGAATCAGGTCAAGATCTCAGTTAAAACCTTTCTTTTAATGTGGATCGGATTGAAATTTATTTCCAGGGATGTCACAACTCTATCCGGAAAAGACCACCGAATGACTTGTCAAGGGGGGTAAGGGAGGGAGTAAAAAAATCAACAGGTGTATATAAACAGGGCGGTGTGAGGGCGGGTGGAGGGGAGGGCGAGGCCGGTGGTGGGGGTAAAGTAGGATAGTGGGGGGTGGAAGATGGCCAAGAGGCCACGCCCAGGCCCCCTCCCAGCGAGGAGTGGGGGGAATGTCCCGGCAGCAAATCCAGTCGGTCCCCAACCGCCGGAGACAGAAGGTAGTAACGCACGAGTCGACGGGCCGGTAAGTAGGATTAGAGCCTAGGATTAGCCACTAAGCCTTCTTGAGCCTTTTTTATCCCTCCTTCCCCTCCCTCGCATTAAAATCATCCCTAGCTTAAAGACAATCCCTAAGGACCCCTTCACTCAGTCCATCCTTACTAGTAGCTCCTCGTCTCCCAGCTCGCTCATTTCACTCACGCCATGTTTCATCTTTATCACTCGCCACACTTACGGGTTATCATGAACCTGTCGAACCGAACCTCCAAGTCCTCTACGGATGGTCCTGGAGGTCAGATTCCAGGAGGACGTTTGACAGACCTTACCTGAAAATCTTCGCTTTGTTAGGAATGACAATATCGGAATATTATCAGTAGTGCATTCGTTACATAACTACGGAGAAAAAAATGGTGCGTATATTTTTAAAAATTGTTATTCAATTTCCGCTTACCGTTTTATAAACAAAAAAAAACTCATTTGTATTTTTTTTTTTTTTCAATTTGCTATCAGTGTGCCGAATTATTCAAAAACAAAGAATTTTGAAAAGAATAACAAGATTTTGCTGTGTAAGAACTTAATATTAGAAAATGAAATTTAATTATTCTATAACTTACTTATCAAAACATGTTAAATAATTTTTAAGTACATCTGTCTGTCAATCAAAGAAAAATTATTTATTTAACGTTGTCCCTAGTAATAAAATTAATTTTAGATAATTTCTATATTAATGTTATACTACATTTTTAAGGAAAATGAAATAACATTAAATTAATTTATTCTGATTTTGTTGAAGTTATATTATGTTAATTGTATATTTGTGTGTTTTTGAGTAGTATCTGCTTATATCCTGAGTCTTGTAAAATTTCAAAATATTCAACAACAAAAATATATTTTACTTTTAAAGCGTGTTGTTAATAGGAAAAGAGGTTGTTTTACTTGCTTTTATTAGTGCCTTCTAGAAACTGAATGGCTCAAAAATAAATCGGTAGCCTTTGGATGGTGATGTATCCCCATAAAATATTAAAATATCAGTTTTAATATGTTGAATAATATTTTACAGTTTTAACTGTAGTTATTTAAGAAAAACAACTTTAAAAAATGGTAGTTTGAAATTTAAAAAATATATTATTTTCATGATTTTTTATGTTGTATATTTTCATATCTCTGATCTGAATCCTAACACCCCATGAAACTTTATAAATTAACTTATTTATTTACGAAGAATCAATTTTTTTTTAAGTTTATTTTATTTGTTTTATAATATATTAATTTCTGCTGATTTTATTAATTTTCATGTATTGTAGATTTGATTATATACCTGTTTTAAAACATATAATCAGACTAAAAAATAATGTATTTCTTACAGATTCATGAATCTTTAGATTTTGACCTCTGATTCTATTCATGGTTTTTTAATATTTTTTTTATCAATGGAGTGAGGTCTGGAATGTAATTCACTTCTCCCTGGATAAATGAGTAGCTACTTGGATAAAATAACACAGAGGAAACATTAAATATATTTGATTACCTTGCACATTATTTTTAACATCATGGCGCACACACCGTATTTTTTCTCGTCTAAAACTGTATGTAATAACACGTCCGTTTTTATGATTTTCCAATAGTTGTCTTATTGATCCTTTGCTAGAAATATCGATCAAGAACAATCCTATAAAATTCTAAATATCAAAACGAATATAAATTTTAAAAGAGATCCATGATGAGGACTGCGACTCGCAGTTTTTTCTTTGAAGGGAGCAAATCATTTCAGAATCCAAATATTTTTTCTTTTTGGTTTGTGTTGAATGAACCCAACGTTATTATTATTCAAGATGAGAGACTTATTTGTATCTTTTCAGAGATATTCATTAACTGAAAGAAATTTCAAAAATAATGTATTTAAAAGAGCTGGATTAACCCATAAAACTCCCTCTGGTTCCGTGCTTGTTCCTAATATATCTTGCTATATATAATCACATATTTAGTCGGCACTTTATTATTTTACATTAAGAAAAAAAAATCATTGCCTAATTCCATATTTATTATAAGAGAGACGATTAAACTTACATACTTTTTTTAAAACATTACCCGTGTTCTATCAAAAATGAGAAAACAATATTTTACAAATTTTCAGGGGAGCATATTTGAATAGGTTTTTTTTCTTTTTTATACAGCGATGTTATCGACATTGTTACTTGGTGGGATGGATACAGAATGAAAATTAGAGATTTCTTGTTTTTAACAATTAACTTTGTCGAGCTTAGAATGGTACAATCGGCGCTGGTTCGACTCCGTCCTGGTCGGGTTGAAATTTATTTCATGGCGGACCCGCTAAATGAATCTCGACCATCCCACTCTGGTCAGAACAGATTTAGTTTACCACTAGAACTACTCCCCTCCCTCCTCCATATGCCACCAATGGCGAGGAAGGGATTAAACGACGATATATATATATGTTTGCCAGTTTTACATATCGATAGCCATTCATCGATGATATGTTTTATTCCAGTAATATTTATCTATTAGCACTTAAATTTATCATATGAAAAAAATTAATCCTTTTAAATAGAAATATTCTGTAGATAATCGTCAGAGATGCCAATTCACTTTTGTTATTATTAACAACTATTTCAGTTTTCATTAACTATAATTTTTCTTAGTATGAAATGCTCTTAATTTTTAATGTAATTAATCAACTTTTATTATAATGTTTAATATATTATTTATGGACTGCTAAATGACCAATCATCACACCCCTGCATTCGAATATTTTTGAGTCAAGTCAAACAATAAACAAAATTGTCTATTTTTGAATTTTTGAGTTGATATACATCAATTTATGATACAATTTTTATTATAAAAACAATAGTTTATTGATGAAATTGTATAGAGCGATTGGTACCGTATTTATTGATTCAGAACACATATTTAATGTATTAACTGAATCTTCAGTTATCAGACAAGTATATTTCATATCAAGTTGATAAATGTCTTAGCTTATTTATGTTTTTAAACATAGCCACCATAAATTGTAAGTCCGAATTAGCACCCTGTATCGAAAGTATGGTTTTATCCATCTGTACATAAATATAATATGTTGAAATAGGATTCATATGACAAACATGTATCGAAATTATATCCAAAATATAATTATATTATCAACAGTAATTTATGCGTTTGAGAATGAATCATAAGAAAATATTTAACATAAATATTAAAAAAAAAAAAAGGAGATCGTACCATCAGGATAGAATTTGACTAGATGTGCATTTTCAATATAAGATTTACTAATAATGTATTCAATGAACTATATTTAATGGTAAATCTTTTATGAGTTTCGAGTTAGGTAGATATTTAATAATATTTAGTTTAAATTTATTTTGTAAATTGTATTAAAATTATAATAAACATATTAAAAATTCAAATATACTTTTATTGAGCCGTATGTGAACTCATTCTACATTTAAGTTGGACAAATAATAACATAAAACAAGATCGCGCTTGATAATATTATCTCAAAAACCATAAGAATATAAGAATGATAAGGGTTAATAATTTTTAGTCTAATAATTGGAGTTTAAAGACCATTAATTATTACAACTCTGCAATATATCACCTAAAAATAAGATATTTTGATAAATATTAAGAATATCGGATGTTAAAGTATTTTATATACTTGGTGACTTTACTAATTTTTAAATCCTTTAAGAAATCATCGTATTGGCAATATTTTACGATTTCTGTAATACAATATTAAATTATTTATTTTACCCACGAAATTTCAAACCGTTTTTCTTAAATCAAGAATGGCTGAATAATTATATTTCGAGAAGGAAATATTTTACTGGCGTTATACCCTTACCGAAAACTATTTATCATCATTTTCTGAATTGAGATTTCTTATCACCAAAAAATAAAGTTAAAAGTTAACAATATTAATTATTTAGGATCTTGAAAGATTTAGTACGGCCTAACAAAGTACTGAATCCAAAACTTTTCATGAGTTGCATTGGCACAGGTTTAAAAGATTCAAATTGAAAGACAAGTTAAGATTTGTAAGAAAAATTCACAAATTAAGGCGAGTTAAATATTAAGAATTAGTGCAGCCCAAAATCGGTCTTGGTCTTGCAAAGTGCAAGACCAAGACAAAGACTGCCTAACTGTTCCAAGACCAAGACTAGTAAAAAATGACTAGTAAAAAAAATCGATTTTTTAAAATAAAAATTAAGGCAAAATACTTGACAATCTTAATTACTATGCGTAAATAATTGGTATAACCAATATACTTTTGCATTTAACTCCTCTAATTTTTCATTCGGGCTTAGTTAGGTTTCTCTTATCTAAAAAATTACAGTAATATCTCTACAGTAATAAGCTACTAAGTAACTGCAAGACTCTTGCTCAAGACCAAGACTGGGTGTTCATGACCAAGACTCGTCTCTGTCTCGCATTTGGGCAACAGTATTGAGAATCAATGTATATAAAAATATAGAAGAGAATCAACCAATTAATTTTCCGTTGTCTTCTGTCAGTTTACTTAATAGTGATGAACTTCAACACAGCATAATATATAAATTAAATTCATTAATAAATTTAATCAAATTTCCGTAATAATATGTAAATTAATTGATACACATTAATTAAATAATACTCACCCAATATAGACTAAAACACTTCAACAAACATGATGTGTACTCGCATTTTATGTACTTATTAAAATACTTAAATGCTTCAAATTACTTTTTAACTCTTCCCTTGACAAATTATATTTCCCTATTTTTGTATTTTAGATAATTTGACAATTATTTTAACTCTCTAAACTATAAAGCTATGCTGACAAATTGGCAAATTTTGATTTAATTGCTTGATTAAATTAATAAAGCATATAATGTGGAATACTTCAATGAACTCTAAAAAAGCTGAATTGATCGGTTGGATAGGTTTAGTATACTCAAACTATTTCATTTTAAAATTATAACCATCTTTTTTTTTTTTTTTTTATTTAACTGATGTACATCAGTTGTGTTTAAGTTCATTACTATTAAGTAAACTGACAGAACGGAAAATTAATTGTTGATTCTCTTCTATATTTTTATATACATTAATTCTGAATAGTGTTGCCGAAATGCGAGACCGAGACGAGTCTTGGTCATGCACATCCAGTCTTAGTCATGGTCTTGGTCTTGAGCAAGAGTCTCGTAAAAATCTTGCAGTTACTGATTAGCTTATTACTATAGAGATATTACTGTAATTTTTTAGATAAGAGAAACCTAACTAAGCCCGTATGAAAAATTAGAGGAGTTAAATGCAAAAGTATATTGGTTATACGA